GATCTTTACTGTTATCCTGATTGTTTCAATTGTCCTCAAGAGTTTAGTTGGCAATTAACTTTGGCAAAAAAAAATGATGAAGATGAGCAATTAATATATGTTATCATTTTCTTTATGATTCTTAACTAATTCAGAACTTAGAATTACCTAAATCCAATTGAAAATGTTACCATGTAACAGATAAGCAAACATTGACAGAGAGATAAAACTTCAGCTCATTTACCTGAATTTCATGGAAGATGAAAAAAAAACTAATCGATATTCTGACTGTCATTATTATTATAACCTCGAACTTGCTCAGAATTCAGGTTATTGTGAAAATCGATGAGAGAGAAAAAAAAATCTTTATTTCTTCATAATTATCTTCATCATCAGAATTCATAATGATGATGTATCAGAAGAAGTGGCAAGAGAGAGAGAGAGAGAGAGAGAGAGAGAAACCAGAAGAAAATGTAACTTTTTCCTCATGAAATGTTGATCAACTTTCACACTGAACTTTTGGTTGATTTGATTTTCGTTTTCATTAAATTATATGGATTTTGAATCGATATAAAATATTCATTGGTGAATTCAAGTTACCGAAATAGTCACCATGTTGACAGGTTATATAAGAAGATAGAAATTTTTGCTCTCCATGTAAACTGTTATTTTTTTTCATGAGAATTCAACTGAACAACAAAAAAAGAATTGCAGATCCTATGAAACATTGAATAGAATTGAAAAGGTTTGCTGAATAGTTTTAGTTTTCTTTCTACTGTTTTCATTCATTCATCTCATCTCAACATGAATTCTGATACTTTGAAACATGAATATTACATTTTAATATACGAAAATAAATATATCATCATGAAATTTGAATTTCCTTTTGGGTTTAACTTTGATAAATCTCAACCGAAATACATTATGTTTCCACCCTCAACGTTTACAAACCTCTCAGACTACTTTGTACATTGACCATTATACAGAATACGGAAAACCAGTAATATGAATAATTCAAGATTATTGTAAATTTGTAACTCAATTCATTGAATAGTTGATTTCATGGTAACCAAATTCAGAGGGGGGCTTTGATCATCAAGAAGATTGTCTCTCTTTTTTTCATAAAAAAAGTAAACATGGAAACAAATGATTCCATTTCAAATCTATCATCATCATCGATGAAAATGAGGATGAGGAAATACAGAATTGAAATACATGAAGATGATAAAATGATCTATTATGGGTAGTGGGAGAGAGAGAGAGAGAGAGAGCTCGGATTAAGATGATTTTTGGATTGACTCTCAGGCGACAATTTAAATTGATATTAACGATGGAAAAAATATTTCATCTAAATTATTGATCAACTTTACTGATGGTTTTTTACTGTTGTGTCACTTTTCATGTTACATGTAAATAAATAGACACACACACATACAAGTAGCTTCGGTGGGTGGGTGGGCTACAGGGTGGGTTGTAATGAAAACTATTCTAAGGAAAACAAACATTGGAAAAAATAATCAATCGATTGCCGTCCAATGGTTACTTCAAGGTGTATCTACATTAATAATAATGATAATGTCTTCCTTTCTAATTCTCTCTCATTTACCCCACCCCATATATCCCTTTCTCTCTCTCTCTCTCTCTTTCTCTTCCTTATTTTTTTTACTCTCTATTCAATTTCATTCGATTTTCATTTTTCACTAACTTCTGCTTCTCTCTCTATTTTTTATAACTAAACATTGACAGGGAATGAAGGGAGAAACTTAAAGAGAGAGTCCAGAACCTGGGAGGGAAATTTGATTGCGTGTGGTTGCATATATTTGAATATAACAAGACGATGATGATGTTGATGATTATGCTGAAAACCATTAAGCATTAGGGTCACAAAAGACAGTGAAGGATAAACCATTTCCCATATCAAATCAATAGATGAACCAGTAGTAAGAAATTCAAAATGAGAAGAAGAAAAAAGTCAATGAGGGTGGAAAATGGTCCGAGGAGGAGGATGAAGAAAAGGAGAGAGAGGGAGGTGAAGACAACCAAAGGAGGAAGATTATTATGATGATGTTGATGATCAGCAAAAGGATAAGGCATATTGGTGGAAATGCTGAAGAGAGAGAGAGAGAGAGAGAGAGAGAGAGAGAGAGAGAGAGAGAGAGATGAAGATGAAGATGATCTTGTTGTAGTTTGTTGTTGTTGTTGTTTTTGAATATATTTCGATAGCGTGGTTAGAACTATTTAAATACACCACCACCCACCCCGATGGAAAGACCATAGATCATGTCAACTAATGATTGTTGTTTTATCATCATCATCATTATGATTGTGAAGTCGAATCGATATTGAAGAAAACTGGAACAAAAAAAGAATAGAAAACTTTTTAAAAAGAAAAATTTTCTTTTTCTATTTTAATATTTTCCACGAAATTCATGTTCTCTCTCTCGGTCTCATTTTCCATACCTTATCATCCTTTTATCTCTCATCTCTCTCTCTCTCTCTCTCTCTCTCTCTCTCTCTTTCTTTCTCTTCGTTTCTAAATGAACAGGATGATATTTCCATGTTCATGGTGATGGTGATCATCATCTTCTTTCATGATGGATAACCTTGAAGATATATAAATACTTAAGAATAAATGTTTTTCGGTTCTTGATTCAGATTAGATTTTTAGCTTTTTCTCTCTCATAACATGGAACCAGAATTATCTGTTTCTGGTAAATTTTCTGATTGATTAATGAACTTTTCTTTCTCAAGGTGTACGATCCAAAGAAAGGAGGGAATCATTCATATATCTCTATTCTTAAAAGTAATAAACATAGAGAGAAATGAAAAGGTTTCATCAATTAAAATGAGGAACAAAAAAAGTTTTCTAATTATGAATTCATTGGTTAGTCTGATGATTGTCAGAATGGAGATTCATTGAATTTATCATGCAAACACATTGAATACCTTCAAGGTTTTCCATCAATACGATCATGCATCTTGTAATTGTGTCCAAATGATAATGAGCACAATAGTAAATCTATTGTTTCGAAATCAAATCGTTTTAAAATCAATGGAAACTTAAAAAGAATGAATTTTTTCCATGAGAGGAAGAGATGAATTCTGAATGAAATTTTCATCTTCTCTTTCTTTCTCTCTTCCCCTCTCTCGTTTTTTCTTCTCTCTGGATAGCGAACATGGAGAGAAAAGATGATTTTCTTTAGATAGCAAGAAAATTAGAAATTCTTTGCCCTGAAAGCAAATTCAGAATTTCCATCATCATGAATAGCCGATGAACCTGGTAAAAAAACTTTATTCAGTAATGAATAAGATGGAATGACATTTGATAGAAAGAAACAAAGTGCCCCAAAGATACAGTTATCTCAAAATTTTTCCTCCAAAAAGATGATCATGTTTCCACTCATCTCTTCCCACCCTCTCTCTGAATCATACATCACCAACAGTAACTGATTAAAATGGTTGATATGCAAAAATAACAACAGGGACACTATGAATATATTGGAGAAAAAAAGACGAGAAAAGAAAATGACCTAAGGGCATAAAAAAGGAATGAAAGAAAAATAAAAAAGAGAAAAAAAAGTTTTTCCTTTGTTGAAATGAAGAAAAAAGTTCCAATTGGTATTCAAATATCTCTCCATCTCCTTCCCTCTTTCGTTTTTAACAAAATGATCAAATGTCAATCAAAATTCGTGGTAAAATTGTCTCAATGATTTACAGTTGGTTCTAATTGACGAATGGATCAATTTTTTTTTCTAGAAAATTCGAATCACCAAACTGTAAGACTTTTTTTCCTCGATTTTGGCTCAACTTGGACATGATTAGAACAAAGTTTGGTGCGCATGTCGAATAGACAATGAAAACAGTTCGAGAGTGTCCACCTACTATATGTATGGATATGGACATGACCCGATCATCAATTGGACCTTCAAGTTACAAGGTAGCCTATAAAACTCATACAGAATATAGATACAGAGTGGGAGAGAGACTGGACAAGTGGGAGGGTCGTTACATGAATAAATATATGCATTTATAGTTTTGACTTTGAAACAAAAGAGAAAACTTTTTTTTTCTTCTCTCAATCATGATAATCTTTATTATTATCATGTACTATCATGAAGATGATAATAATAACCATTGGTAAGAATCAATAATGATCAAGTATCACCAGTATAAGGACAATATAATCACCGGCGGGTGAAGGTAATGTAAGTATAACATGTTATGCTTGAGGCTAAAACGTTTGGACTGTGGATGAAAATTGATGATAATGATGATCAGTGATCCGCAGGTGAGTTCAGGTGATTATAAGGTAAGAAGAGGAAAAAAATATTATTTCATAAAAAAAAATTCACTCATCATGAATATATTTTTTTCTGAAAAAAAAGAGTCAATAACTAACACGATAATGATGATAAGTTAATGGCGATAACGCAAGTTGAAAGCTAACTAATAATATTATCATGAAATAACCATGAGAGAGAGAGAGAGAGAGAGAGAGAGAGAGAGAGGGGTATGGGTGGATAGTGATAGAGAACCTCGAATCAATATCAATGGCCTTTTATTATCAATCTGCTCACGCTAAGTTTTTTTGTCTTTTTTATTTTCCTAACAAACCAAATAATATAACAGGTAATGATGATGGTGATCAATATATATCGTTTCATTTAGGACAATTATGATTTCCTCCAACAATCAGGCTTATTATTATTATAAGAAGTGTATCTTCATGATGATGATGATGAATGATGATTAAGAAAAGTAGGAGGGGAAAAGATTATCTTTCAACCTTGACTGGACTCTTGATTACCTTTTTCCGTATGGTTAATATGGATTATAATCATTGGTACGATAAGAAATTGTCATCATTATGTTATCATGATAATGTTGTTCTCTCTCTCTCTCTCTTTCTCTCTCATCAGGAATACAATAAGTTACCTGGTTTGGGACTTATGGTGCATGGAATCATCAGCATGATGATTATCATCATTTGAGAGAGAAAGAAGGAGAGTGAGCTGAGTGAGCATCTTTGAAAAGTTACTAATAATTTAGCTATTTTTTTTTTGCTGTAATATGAATACAAAAAGGAAGCTTCAATTTTTCAAGTTCTTGGTGCTCAGTGAGCCCATTCAGTTATGGTGATGGTGGGATATGATTATATATATCAATGGGTGGAGGAAGAGGGAGGAGATTACATGTCAATGATGAGGATGATAAGGAGATGATGATGAGCTCGGTTGGTAAAGATGAAGATGAGAAGATGAAATTAGTTTACAAAAAGAAATGTTTTTCTTTTCTTTTCCAGGTAGAGAAGAAGAAAAAATTATCTTCACATTTCAAGTATCACTTTTTTCACACTCAGATGAATTTCACCTTTTTCTCCCCTTCTTCCTCCTCAATTTCCACCACCTTCAGGTAAATACTCAAGAATATCAATCATATAATTGATAAGAATTTAAATTTATCATCAATTTGTGATTCATTTTTTTTTTATTTCTTTTCTCATATTATTTATGTTTCGAGTTGTAAACACCAAAGCAAAGTTATTACAATTCTGATGACGATGATGATAATAATGATGATGGTGATGATGATGAAATAACAGCTCTCATGATGACCTCTGTCCAGCAGCCTGATCGTTTCTATCCTGTTTTCGTTAATAATGACCTGATGGCTTCAATTGCATCCGGATGTAATTTTGATGATTTATCACCTAAAAAACAATCAGAACATGGAATCTTATTATTAGCATGATTAACATTATTGGCATAATTATTATTACTATTAATATGATTACTATTAAAATTTGGATTAGTAAAGTTAGTATTATCACTATTAAATTGATTGTTAGCTTGATTACTTTGTAAATTGTTGGCATTATTAACCATCCTTTCAATTCTTGAATGAAAAGGTAATATGTTTGGTGTACGTTGATTGGACAGGAATTGGTGATGAGGATGAAGATGAAGATGAGGATGATCATGAGACTGGTGGGTTGGTGAGGATGATGAAGATATTGAGGGTGAAGGTGATGAAGGTTGATGGTGATGAGTGTTAAAGAGTGGATGTTGTTGTTGTTGTGGTTGCTGTTGATGATGATGATGATGATGATGATGTGGATTATGTTGATGGTTATGATTGGGATGACGTTGACCAAAAGGTATTGATGGTTGATAGTGATTATTATGATGATGGTGATGATGAGGGTGTGGTGATAATTTTGATGATTCGGATGTTTCTGGTGAATGAATTAATGCTGCCAAGGAATCGGTTACCTGACCATTAAGGTGATGAAAATTGTCGGTTAAAATTGTTGAATCTACTTCGGAGCGGGAAGGCTTTTTCCATCCTAAAAGAAGTGATCGAGATTCATCACCTTCATGTTCCACTCCGGATTCTTCGTATTCTTCTTCCTCCTCTTCCATTTTACTTTTGGTTGACGGTCGAAAATGGTCACGGAAACGTTCACGTTGCTGGCGAAGTTTAGTTAATGCATCTAAAGTTTTCACCTTTTGACCTGGACGAATTCGACGTTCACCGGTAGGGCCACTTTCGATTGATGATGATCCACGATTTGCTCCATTGATATTACCCGATAATCGATATCTTGTTGAAATTGCTGCTCTTCCTTCATTATTATTTCCGCTACGATGATCTTGTGGTTGGTCATCATCCTCTAACTGACCACCGATTTGATCAAAAGATGATTTAGCTTTTAATGATGTTTGTTGACTTTTTTTAATTGCTTGTTGAACTTGGGCTAATTGTTGAAGATTCTTTAATTTCCTCAGGTCACCATCGAGTAAACTGAGAGGATTACCATTGACCCCACTTAGAGTGTGAAGAGGTGAAGGTTCACCTCGTAGTTCATCAATTAAGGTGGTGGTCAAAGGTATTTGCTTTTTATTTAACATCTCAATCATGGTCAGTCTTTTCAGTGCATCATCAAAGCCAATGTCTTCACCTAAAAGTCCTGATGAACTGCCCAATCGGGATGAGGTTAACTCTGTGAGAGCATGATGATGACCAGCACCATGAAGAGGATTAAGTTGCTCATTAAGATCGTCAAGGGTTGAAGTTTTTGACGATTGTTCCAATAGGCTGGACAATAGACGATCATTGAGTGAGCCTGAAGATGGTCCTGATGAGGTGGATGACGAACCACCAGAACCAGAGGTAAGTGAAGATCCAAGTAGACTTGAGGTTAAATCGGATGAAGATGAGCCACCCAAAAGTGACCTCAGATTGGATAAACTTGCAGAATCAGATAAAAGGGAAAATCCTTTCAATGAACTCGCTGTATTACCGGTAAGAGGATTGATCAATGTGTCCCCTCGAGAATCTGATTTAGATGTTTCAAAGAAGGGAGTGATTTCGGGTGACATTTGCTCTGATCGGGGAGGATTAAGGGTCAATCCAGCGGCTCGGACAAGTTCACCTAATGATCCAGATTGAAATCTATGATGAAGATGCTCAGCTGATGTTGGGCCAGATGAACCTGAGGCGGATGATGAAGAAGTGGAATCAGTTAATCCAAGAGATTCAATAACAGAAGCTAATGAAGGTGACCCTGAAAGGTGACCTGTAAGGTGATGATGATGGTCAGTTGAAGTTGGATGGATAAGTTGCTCTGAAAGTGTTGACCCTGATCCTTCAAGTCGATGACGATCATTATGAAGCCTACCTGATATTGATGATATTGGTCCACCGGCAGTGATTGGATCATGGTGAGTTAAAGTATGACCTCCACCACCGCCACCACCCCGACCAAGAGCATCAGTGGGTTCACTATTTGGTCCAACCAATGAGCCAACATGAGGTGGCCATGGTGAGTCAACAGGAGAGTCAAGATTTCCTGGATTACCTGGTGAACCCGATAAACCATGAACATGATGAGGGTGTCCAGTAATTTCACCATTTCCACCACCCCCACTATTAGCATCACCACCACCATTACCAATATTTGATCCCAATGAACCCAAATGACCATCAATATGATGACCTGCACTTGACGGAGTCTCTCCAGGTAAAATGCTTCTTCCTTCTTCCCCTCTACCACCACCATTACCATTACCACTTGATCCTCCTCTGCCATCTTGAAATAAAGGATATGCTTGCCCATGACTTTCAGGATCATTGCCATGATGATGGTGATGACCACCAATCTGTTGACCATGAGCTTGATTTTGCTGTTGAAGATGAGGATGCTCATCAATAGGTGTAAATATTGGTACAACTTGATGACCTGGAATCTGTTGCTCGGTTGGACTAAGATGTGATTGAAGATGATGATGATGATGATGTCTAGAACCACCTCCATTCAACCCTGAATGACCACCATGAGAACCACCACCACCACCTGAGCCACCATTGGAAACGACGATAATATTTTTCTTGGCATCATCGGTACCTGCGTTAACGTAAACCAAATCTTTAGCTTCCGATAGTAGAGAGGAGGGACGACGATGCCGATAACGGCTATGGGAGGGATGGGAATGGTCAGAACATGACTCATCTAAAAAGGTTGACCATAACAAAGACCCAAAGACACAGAAAAGAAAGCAAACAATTAAAAAAAAATCCATCAATCAAATTGCTAATCTAATTTATCTTTAAATCTTAAACCTAATCTAGATAATCTATTAATACGTGTAAGTATTAATAATCTTAATCTTAATCAAAATGATATTACATGGAAACAACTCTTGTAATGATTAAGCATTGGGATGTAATTTTGAAACAACAAAGTAATTAACATTTAAATTGTTGGAATAGGTTAAAAGGTTGAAAGGTAAACCAATTGAATCAATCAGAGTAACAGCATGTTGGCAAGATGACACCTAGATAATGATTGCAATGCAACATGGGTCATGGTAAATATGAAAGATTCATTAATGAAATGAACCGTTAAATTGTTAAGGTAAACATTTTGTTTAGAAGACTAGATAACATCAGATGAGGTAATATATGGTTATGCATATGAAGCGTGTGTGTGTGTGTATGAGTGGAGGTGGGTGATGGGTGCAGGGAAGCATCAAAAGGTAGCATATGGACAACGATAGTAGCCTAACCTTGATTGAGCTCATTGATTCATGAGGAAACCTTATTATCATTTACACTTCATAAGAAAATTATAAGACATTCAAGATGAATGAGAGAGATGAGAGAGATGAGAGAGAGAGAGAGAGAGAGAGAGAGAGAGAGAGAGAGTTGATAGAGTGACCAAGTGGCAGTGGGTAAAAATGAAAGCTTTAAAAGGTAAAATATGCATCGGTGCTGTCAATTTCCTGTCATCATCTTCATCTTTATAATCATGTAACTATTAGAAAGCTTTTCATGAATAAGAGGAGTGGGTGTGGGAAGGGGAGGAGGAGGTGGAGGAGGAAGAGGAAGAGGAGGCGTACTTAATGTACACAAGACGCGTGCCTTGCAAAGATGATGATCAAGTTAATTCACTTACAAAACTACAACAAAAAACTTGCTATTATCATTATTTACCTGATTAACCCCAAGGGCAGAAAAGACAAGAGAGAGAGAGAGAGAGAAAATGATTCGAATTGTGAAAATAAAAACAAAAACGACATACGGAGATTGTATTAGGAAAACTAGTACTTATATCAGCTTCTTAATCATTACGTGTTTAATTGTCCAATTGACTAATTACAAATCTCGAGAACTGAAAATCTCAACAGGTAAATAATTAACTTACTATTAAATTTATCCTTCAACAATACAAACATTATGATGGTAAACAATTAGACAGATAAGTCAAATCTTATGGACATCATATGGTGTTGATCACAATTAATTAAATCATTGAAACAATTAATTGAGAAAAATGTTGTAAATTTTGTACCTTACATAATAATCGTTGTTAATTTTTTTTTCTTCATTTAAATCACTGATCCCTAAATCCACTTGATAAGTTCAAAGTATATATTAAAATAATCTTAATCTTTCATCGACTTCCGTCTTGACCATTAATCTTATCCGAAAATGATTTCAAAACCATTTTCACTCAATGTTATCTTATTTTAGAATCAGATAATAATAATAATAATAAGTAGGACAAAGTAAAAAATAAAATAATAGAAAACAATTATTTTCAATTTCCTTTACTTTTCAATTAATGTTATGCAATCAAATTGGATTAACGATTATGAATAAACATAAGAGTTAATCCAACCTTGACCGAAAATCTCCTCATGGTCAGTCTTATGAATAAAGGTAATGGTTAATTTTGTTTTTCCACAAATTCTAAATTGATTTAACCATTTAATTTGCAATTGATTTAAATACAATAAAGAAGAGAGAAAGAGAGAGAGAGAAAAAATTACAGAGAATTTTTTTATTCTTTTATAAAATTTTCTCACCTTCTCTCTCTCTCTCTCTCTCTCTACCTGTAAGCATGATGATAATATTACACAGGTAATAAGGTTGAATGATGTCGAAATTGTCTCTCTCTCTCTCATCTCGGTGTGTGAATCTATCAAGATGGTGTAAAAAGATGGAGGATTAAGGTTCTCATGATATTAACCTGAAAGTGACCTTTGTGTCTGTGGGTATTTTTTGCATAAAAAATTGCGCATTTGTAAGTTGAATTTAGTATTTGTATTAATAAATACTAGAGAGATATTATAACGGTGAAAATGATGAGGATGCTTTTGTTATCATTGCGCTTATATGTTGTATGTAAAGCTATTTAGAAACAGGTAAAAGCTGTTATATCTTCTTATTATTATTACCTGAGTTTTGTGTTTGGATACAAACAGTAAATGATTGGGAAACTTTAAGGTTTTTTTTTCTGCTTCTTCCTCTGTAATATTTATATTGAAAGAGAAGCAAGAAAAAACCTCAAGGTTATCATATGTATTTGTACTGATGACCCTCGAATAACCTGTGGGCTACGGAAACTAACGGGACCCCTTGAGCTATTTTCTAGTTTTTTTCTTTCTCATCTTCTCATTTTATCTTCCTTTTCATCTTATCAATGTCTTAGAGTCTTGTGTATATATTTGTGCATCTATGGTTATTTAAGGTAACATATAAAAAACAGTTTTCTCAAGCTCTTTCCTCTCCTCTCTCTCTCTCTCTCTCTCTCTCTCTCAGTGATGACCGTTGTTAGATTGATAAAAAAGGCGGCATCTTGATAGGTCAATGGGGAGGGGGAGATAGAGAGAAAGATGGTGATGATGATGGAGAAGAAGAAGAAGAAAAGAGAAGAAAATTGATTCTTTTTTATGTTATCTTCTTTTTTTCGTCTTCATCTAAGTGGACACAATGATAAAAAGGCCGAGAAGAGGGTTTAAGATGAAAGGGGGAAGGGAACGATTTTTTATTCTCTCTCAATGAGAAGAGAGAGAGAGAGAGAGAGAGAGAGAGAGAGAGAGAGAGAGAGAGAGAGAGAGATGATGATGATAATGATTTGCATCTTTCTTACCTTTATCACTCTTTCTCAGTCTTTCCATCATTTTGGCAGCCAAACTTTTCTTTTTGACCTCTGTAACCTTAACGGCAACAGAATTGGCCGATGTCCGCAGGTCATTTACCTTGGATAACGGTGAACTGGCCAAGTGAGGAGAGGCTGATGAAGAGAGGGCAGAGTTACCATTGGTATTATTGTTGTGATTGATGTTTTCATCTTGTTGTTGTTTTGAGGTTGATTCTGTTACATCAACAGGAGTCTCATCATGATTACTTTTTTCATCATTTCCGTTTCCATTTCTTTTTATGTCTCCATCATCTGATTCTGCTGATAAACTTGAGATTTGATGGTGTAAAGATGATTCCTCAATCTCCAAATCAGCTGATGTTGACCTTTCAGTTGGTATTGTTATTGTGGTTGTCGATGTTGTTTTTGAGATTGTTTCATTATCATGTGAATCATTAGGATCTATTTCATGATAATTTTCAGTGAAACTTTCATATGGAACCTCTGAGATTGGGACAATTTCCAATATCTTACCCTCAATGTAAGACATTAATTTATCTTCCTCATTCTCATTGTCGCCGTTTTCAGTTGACGATGATGATGATGATGAGTGGACGAAGGAGGAGATGGGGGAGGTGGTGGTGGTGGTGGTGGGGAGGGTGGATTGTTCGTCTGATTCTGAACTATCGTTTTCTTCCCTTCTATTCTCATCTCCATGGTCACTTTCTCTTCCTTCTCCTCTTCCATTTCTCCTCCACCTGATCCAATACTGTCGTTTGATTCTTTCGCTTCTCCATCTTCTCTACTGTTGTTTTCGGGGTAACCGGAAGTGATCGAGACCATCGACTCCATTTTAACCTCACCCATAGATGAGTTAAAACCTTGCTCAGCCCGGAAACCATTTGATTGGATTAACAGTAAAACGAAAAACAGATTACAGATTAATGGAGGATATAAGTTGATTTTCATAGTTTCAATTCACGAATAAATCGATTATCAAACTTTGTCTCGAAATTTATTCTTAGAACTTTTTGTTTCTCTCTCTCTCTCTCACACACTTTACTTTTTCAAAAAAATTTTCCAGAATTTTTTTCCTCACAAACAACAAAAACAAACCCTCAGGGCACTTAGGGAAAAGGATAATGATAACGATAACGAATATGATTCAATGATAAAGTCCAAAATGTCCAAAGAAACAAGAAAAAATTGATTGGCACCTTTTACTATCACATAACTGGATTAAAATTTAATTATTACAATTGAAGTTTAGATTATATGATATTTGTGTTGATGAAAAGAAGCAAAAATTTACACTAATCCAATATAACGGATTAACCATTTAACAAGCACATTCTTAATGTTAATCAAACAATGAAACAATTTACACTTTGAAGGTAACATTGAAACTGATGAATGAAATCAAATCAAACAATTATCTTCATCATTTTGATGATAATCATGATCCAGATAATCATAATCATAATCATCATCATCACCTTAATCCAACCTTAATCTTAATCATATCAACCACTTTATTATCAATAATCATTATCATTACCACCTCTTAACCTAATGATAAGCTAATGAAATCATTTATTTAACCACAATTAAGTTTAACTAATAAAATATATTTAAGCCAATAAAAAAAAGCAAAATTTTCTCGGTCTAATTGAAGAGTAATATTGTTATTGTTGATATAATATCAACAATAATTATCATCATCATCATCATAATCAAGATGATAACCTTCATTTAATCAAGATTATGATGATGATGATGATGATTTAGAAATGATGAAAAAAAAGATGAGGAGAAAAATTCACCAAACAAATATTTCTTTATGAATAACATGATAATCATGAAACAATATTGAAACGCTCAGCTTGATATCATGGTGATTAGCTTAATTGTTGTTGATTATTACATTTAGTTACATGATGATGATGATGATAAATGTTTAGTGAGAAAAAAAAATCCAAGAGTTAAAGTTATCATCACCTAATTTGATACGGCGCCTTTAAAAACATTACCATCAACAAGATGATAATGATGATGAAAAAAATGATATTATCATCATGCTCATGCTGGTTTGGCTAGTTTTTCATCATCATCATCACCTCCTCCTCCTTAGTGTTATTTTTATTATACTATTTTTTTTATTGTTGTTGTATCTTCATTCATCTCTCTCCCACATTAGTAAATCTGATGAATGAGTTTCGATTAATCGAGTGAGAGGAAAAAAGTTCAAAGTTCTAATATCAACTAATCTAATTACCTTTTTGAAACATTAACTACTAAATTAGTGCAACAATTTAAAGTACAACCAATTAACTTGGTTTCATGATCAACAATTAGACGATAAAAGTTGTCAAATTAAAGTAAAAATTAGTAACATTTCAGTTGATTGATCATAAACTTTTACCTTTTCCTCTTATTGGTCAGTCTTTTCTTGGTCAGTTTGAAGTAATAGTAATAGTGATAATAGGAGAAGAGGAAGAAAACTTCTCCCCCCACCCCCGAAAAAGTAACCCTATTGGTCAGTTTGAGTGGTCAAGTAAAGGAGGAAAAACCTTTTACCTCTTCTATCATCCGGTTCTTGTTAACAACCAACTTATCACTCCTTTCCTAATCCTCTTTACTATTGGTTTAAAACTAGATTATCATCCTAACGCCTACAAGATGATGAGGATGATATTTATCATCATTTCCATTGATAAATATAACAACTTTTATCCTCAAAAAAAAACCAAATAAATATAAAAATCATGATAATAATGTGATAATATTATGTAACCATATGAAAAGATTAAGGTTTGACCCAGTAAATAAATAAAACTAAATTGATTGAATCAATTGTTGGATCAACAAATTGAATTGCAATTGAAATTGATTGTGATCATCAACAACAACAACAACAACAATTTATGAATTGTTGGAGTAAAAATGTTGTTTATTGATTATTCAATTGGTTAACAGTTTGTGGTTAGTTTTATATATTTTATTTTTATGATCAAACAATTTAACCCAAAATAATAATATGAAACCACAGCAATCAAATCAAATTGAATTTTATTTCCTATTGAAAACAATAAGTTTAGTTTGTTTTTTTTCCTCAATTTCTTCAAGTATTGTATTTGAGGTGGGATTTAATATTTACTATGATTTAAAGTTAAATTGGGTTAACTTTCAACTGGATTAAGGGAAGATGATTAGTTAATCTTGTTAATCATGTTGATCAATTTTCAAGATTTATCTTGTTGGTGTCCTCTTTTTATTCAATAGTTTAATTGTTGAATGTTTTTGCCTCTGTAATAAATCATATTGATAAAATTTTTCTCACACGGTGACACTAGCGACCCATCACCTTAGCCCCTTCCCCCCAAGGTCAATCAGGTAAATGGTGGGTAATGGGGACAGTTATCGTCATCATCGTTATTATTATCATCATTTACCTTTGTCACTATGAAGATGAGAAGAGAGAGAGAGAGAGGAGATACGGGGGTGGAGATGAGGAGATCTCTCTCTCTCTCTCTCTCTCTCTATGTCCTTCTGTGCATAAGAATGTATTATAAAAAAGAAAGATGATGATGATGATGATGAAAGAGAAGACAAAATAATGATAGTCGAAGGTAAACCTTGAGGTCCATTTGCAGATTGACCGATGCAAAGAAAAGGGAAAAGAAAGACCCGTAACCGTAACGGTATTTTCTTATTCAATCTTATGCCATCTTCATCTTTATCATTCTCATCATCATCATCTCTCTTTCTTTTTTCACTTCTTTTATCATCACAACGAGAAGATGAAGAAGAAAAAAAAACACGTAGAGAAAAAAAAGAGAAAACTTTTTATAGCTCACGTTGTACCTGTCATCTTCTTCCTCTTTCTTTCCTTCTCTTCCTCTCTCACTCTCTTATCATCATTCTCCCTCTTTATATATCCTCTATTATCCACACACACCATCATCATCATCATCTTCCACTCCCTTATTCTCAAGCCCATTTCTCTCCATTGTCCGAGCGTTTTTTATATTACCTTTTTTTAGGTTTACTTTTTTTTTATCATCATCATTATATATCTTTTACAAAGGAAGTGAATTTTTATTTTTTTACCAACTTTCATCATCCTCATCCTCGATCGGTCCATAAGGTCATATTGGTCCTCTTTTTTTAGGACCATAGGTAAGGTTGTTAGTTTGTTGTTGTTAAGGTTACTAAAAATGGAGTCAACAGTTACCTTGGATTTCATTGAAACCTTAGCACATTGTTACCTTTGCATTATCATCATTGTTACCTTACTGCTGCTTTTATTACTGTTATTGCGTAAAAAATACACACGAGAGAGAGAGAGAGAGAGAGGAGGGGTGGTCGTGATGAGGAAGAGCTCAGGTAAAGGTAATAATGGAAACGGGAAAAAATATGTTACTCAAACGTCTTAACGTTTTAATATGATTCCCATTTTTTGAGCTTTAATCTTACATAATAAGAAAAACGCTAATAATAACTGTTCATGTTTAAATCCTCCGAGAGAGAGAGAGGGCTTCCCTTCTCCACTTTACCACCCCACCCCACCCACTTCTCTCTCTCTCTCTCTCTCTGACCCTCTGTTGTTATTATTATCATCTCGTCCTATTTTCATTCTTTGGCACAATTGCCACTTCCCTTTATTCAACCGATGGTTTCGAAGCTCGAAAATGTTTTCATCTTACCTTTTAAGCTCAAAGTGAGTTCCGGTTACCCGGTGGGACAAATTTTTCACGATTTTAAACTTTCCTCTCTCTCTCTCTTTCTCTGTAAAGTAACTTTTTCCATCGTTTTCAAGGTCAAAAGTTTGTACATTGACATATTATACTAATTTGAAAATTAATTGCTGTTTAATTGTTTTGATTTATTATCGGTTTTAATTGTTACACAATTGATTTAAACTTATTGTATTATTTAATAATTTTTTTTCTTCTTGATTATTGTTAACAATCAGTCAAGATTTTTAATTGTAATGATTAAAATCATAAATTTGAGAAGGTATCAAGTAATTAGTTATTTCATCAACTGTTTTGATTGATGGTGAAAGGGTTGAAGGATCAATTGGAGATGATGATGAAGAGGAAACGGAAATTGATGACGATGGAAAGTATTGAGATCGTTTCTGGATAACGGGAACCGTACACTTATCGGGATCATTGGTCTCCTTGATACATTTGTTATACTTTCGCATGGCTGAGGGCATGAATCTGCCCCCTGGTCCCCAGCCGTAAGTTAACCACCGGCTAATATGATCTCGAGGTTTAATATAAGATCCAGATAAACCAGCGGACCCAAAATCCTCAAAATAAGGATTAAGATTAGCTGAATAATGTTCAACCATTGGTGATGAAGCAAAACTTGATAAATAATGTTGATTAGGTGATGATGATGATGATGGATAAGCTTCAATCTGGATTAACGGTAACCAGGTAATTAAACAAAACAAGGTGACAACAATTAAAATCATTGTGACCAATTGAGTTCGGGGAAAAAAACCAATTACAATTAATCACAACTTTCTAACAATTAAATTTGATTTTCATTCACTAATCACAAAAATTGAACTGATTTTTAGATTGATCGACAAATAAACAACTGATGATGATCAACAATTAGATAATAAAATTGATTTGATTGTGACTTACGCTTTTTATATTATGACTACAATCAAATTTGATTGTGCTCCAAATTGTTAATCTCTTTCTCTCTCTCTCTCTCTATGTTAATCAATACCCAATAGAATTAAGAAAAGTTATTAAATTATTGGAAATTTGTATTTTTAAATTTTCCAAATATTCAAAGTTAATCCAGTTAATCCCTGGTTAAAGTTAATCCTCGAGTTCAGGAAAGTTCAATTGTAATCACAATTACATTAAATTTATCAACAGAATTAAAAAGGAAAACAAACTAAAATAATTTCCAATTTAAATAACAATTTAAATCTCAACACAATCAAAATCAGTTCAATCTTAAATTCTTATTGTCAATTAATAAATTGTCACCAAACAACATGAAATAATAATTAAATACTCGAGGATTAGTTAATCTCAACGACAACAATCAAATTGTAATTTCAACAATCAAAGGATTAAATTAGTTTAATTTAATTTCAATCAATATTGTTATTGATATAAGAAAAGTTGAAATGATTTACACAACAATTAAAAGATTTCCGGTAACAATTAAAACTAGCAAATGTTAAATGATCAATGGATTGATAATCTTTTACCTGTTGATAATTTAATGATTACATAATATTAATCAGAGAAGAGAAAGAAAAAAAAAGTTTAAATCCATTAATCCATTTCCGTTTCCCTAAGCCAAATGTTGTCCTTTCCCTTTACCACCCCCAAGCTATTTGACCCTCCGGTG